ACAATGTTATTGGTTTGGTTAGCACTTCTTAGTCCTTACACATACAAATGAAACATTCATTATGATGCAGATGCAATTGTTTATGTTTTACTGATTTTATGAATGATTGTACTGTATTTAACTTTCTATCAAATTTATTACTTTATTAATTATTTTAAATATATTTTTATTTATATTACTATCATTATTACATAAATCATTATTACATAGATGTTAATGTATTTTTTCTTTAAATATTTATTGCATGATGAATATAAATAAGAAAATATACTTTTAAATACTATATTTTCTCAATCATTTTCCTTACTTTTTGTGAAAACATTTTAAAAACATAAAAACATTTTTAAATTTTATTTTTGTCAGAGAATATTTATCCCTAATTTATGTATAAATAAATTTATCATTTCTTTCTTTCTCTCTCTTCATAATATAAAATAATTAGTCTTTCATTTATATTAATCTTAATGTTTTATGCTTTAAGATTATTAAACTTATAAAATTATTATGAAATATTATTTCTGAAAAATAATAGAAATTAAAACTTTTAACAAATATCAATTTTTGGCCTCTTTTCAAAAAGATAAAATTTCAGATACTTGGCTACTGTTTGCAGTCAGATTATCTAATTAGATAAATCGATTGTAATCTCTCTCATGAGAATTGAGGAAGTAACTGTTTAATTAATATACTTTAACTTATATACATTGATATAACTTGCATGCATATAATATTGTGTTATTATAGAAAATAATAAATTAATCATATGAATTCATCATTTATTATTATGAGTAACATTTTATCTTAAAAAAAATCAAAAATAAAATTTAACCTAAAAAGTTCCATTGTTCTTAAATATTAAAACTAAATTACTACAGATAACATTCAAAATATGCAATTATTTTAATAATTAATATTTTATAATAAATACAACCAAATAATTATATCAAATATCAAACAGCTATATTCCAGAATATTCAGAATTTTAGAATATTCTAAAGTTAATTTATTTATTTTTAATTATTAAATTTAACAAGAGATGGCAACCTTACTGCCTATTCCCTTCCAAACTACTTAGTGATTATTTAGCTTTAGTGCCTGATAAAAAAAATCCAAGTGTTTGTTTGATATTTGATTAATATTTTATAATAAAATTTTATATTGTTATTTGAAAAGATTATCACAAATAAAATCAAAGAATGACTTATTTCCTTCTTTATCTTAAAACACTTTAATAAAAATAATATAAACAATGTTCACTTCATTAGAAATTTGGGTCATTGCTTAGTCTTTTCTGATAATTCATGTTAAATATGATCCTTTCAAGTGTCATAATAATTAGTTTTCAAAATATGCAATAAAAAATATATTTTTTAATTCCTTAAAAATATTTTGAATGAAAAATTTCAGCAATATTGTAAATATTTAATTATAAAAATTATTTTTTATTCATTTAAAATATCAGGATACTGATATTTCATTATTTCAAGCAGAACTGAATAAGTTATTGTTCCACAGCAGTTTTATTTTTTATTTCTGTCATAAAATGATTACAACCTTCTGGTCAATTATTTAACAACTCCTCAGTAAAATTAAATTTTATTGGCTTTAAAACTTTGTAAACTTTTTAATCACATTATATTTATTAACCCAAACTGCATTTAATGAATGTATATATGATATAATCTACATGTTCATCTTTAATGTGCTAACATGGTATGTTATCAAAATTTAGTGAAAGTATTAATAAAAATTATTTTTATGAAAATCTCTTTCCATAATATTTATAAAATTATTATTTATGAGTAATTATTTTTTAATGCATTCTAAATCCTGAGATATGATTTATTAAATTATTGATTTTTAATTAATAAGAGAATTTTTATAGATTATTTCAGTAGTGAAGAAATTTATAGTTACTCTTTTTTTCTACAAATGATAAGCTTTTATGTGATATGATATGTAACTGAAACCAAGTATTACATCATGTAATAAGATTTTTTCTATTTAAAATCAAATGTAAGACACTTGCAAAATTTTATAAATTTCTGAAAAATATAATAAATATGAAACAAAATTATGATAAATAAAGTCAAAGAAATTTACAAATGTTTTTTCTGAAAGATTAGATGATAAAATCATAGGTAATGCTTCTTCTTTCAAATCAATACACAAAAACATGTTTAAAATACTCCTCTTTTCTATCTTTGTTATGTCAGCAATATTAAAAAAGAATATAACATATGATTTTATCAATTGATCATTTTTTAATATAAGAAAGCATTTGTCATTTAAAACTAATTAGTGCTATGCCTTCTGTTTTTCTAATTTAATCATGTCATAATATTATGATACTATATCATATGATTCTTAAAATAATATTTTAAAAATGTAAACAAATTTATTAATTTATATGACTAAAATCAAGGCTTTCTATATAGAAATTTTATCTGATGATTGGCATTTTTTCTAGAACAAAAAAGAAAAGTCATATTCAAAAAATAAGCAAACAAACAGATGTAAAATTTCTTTTATCTAATTCTGCTTATATCAGTGAAAATTATTTAAAACATTGATAACAATGAAATTTTAATAACATTTTTTCTCATTTTACATATTTTCTTTGCAATCAAAACATTACATTATAATAGTAATTTCTTCAATAATATATAAATAGGATTTACATTTTAATTAAAAAACTTCAACAATATGAAAATGACTTTATTCCCAACATACATTATTTAGCATAAGATTCTAATATAGTAATATTAAACCTATATCTGAGTAATTTAGTAAATGCTTAGGTAAGTACAGTAATCAGAAACAATTTGACAGATGAGATCTATCTGATACCATTTATAAATGGTATTATCATTAATCATACATAAATGGCAATTTGAAGAAATATATATACAGTTGACCCCCATAACACTGTTGATAATTCCATTTTATATGAATTCCATGTTGTACGAGTCACTTAGATTTTACAAATACGTGTGGCGGGCTGTGAACGGCTCACGTATTTGTAAAATCTAAGTGACTCGTACAACATGGAATTCATATAAAACGGAA